TATATATATATATATATATATATATATATATATATATATATATATATATACATATATATGTTTATATATATAGACATATATATTCATAAATATATATATACATACATATATATATATAAAGATATATATAAACATATATATAAACTTATATATAAACATATATATATATCTATATCTATCTATCTATCTATCTATCTATCTATCTATCTATCTATCTATCTATCTATCTATCTATCTATCTATCTATCTATCTATCTATCTATCTATCTATAATATACATACACACACACACACACACACAAACTTTAATAACTTAATACTATCTTATAAACTGAGACAAAAGCATGGTGAACTAACGCTGTGCAATTCTTGATAATCCTGCCCATCTCCATCTTCTGCCCAATACCATGGATAACAAAAACAATATGGCTGATATCAGGAGGTTTATCACTGGCTGTAGCATCTATACTGTAGCCTCTGTGTAGTTTGTAGCCAGCTGAAAAAAATAAAAAACGGTAATCATGCTCATAAACACTTTTAAAGATCCACAGATGTTACACAAATTCTTTAGATGGTTATAACTTATATACAAAATCTTAAAATAATATCAAATGTCTTTCTCCAAAGTGCCACATAAACAGATTTCTACCATACTCAAAAATTATCACGAATATCCTATATATGACAATACTTTACAATCTTCAATATCAAGCACTAATCTTTGATGTGAAATAATCTTCTTTACTATAATTTCACAATTATTTGTTACACTAAACATGTGGAAATACACAGGAGGCCTCTAATATTACTAATAAAAAATAACTGTCTTCTTCCTTATAAGAATTATTGCTGTTAACAGTTAACTTTTCGTACCTATTAACCTAAGGCAACCAGGAACGAATAATGTTCACTGTAGACTAAATGATGTCACTAAGAAATAATAGTAACCCACAAAGACTTACAACTAGCCACTTAGAATTAATCTGTATTCCATCTAAGTCTAAAAAAAACACTCACTCTTTTGGAAGCCTAGTTTCTTGCCAACAGATCTCATTAACCTGGATGGCGTCGCATCAGATGAGAGGTATATCTCTGAGGCACTAAACCAGTCTACTTGACCCTCAGGCAGTGATAAGGAATGTACAACTAGAAACAAATAAAACAATGATTAAAACAGTAAAAGTAATAATGACTAGTATAAATAAACCCATCATATTTCTGATAATTTGGTGGATTTATAATGCATTTCTGATGAACACTGCATTAGTGGAATCTATGAGTATCTTACCAAAATTTCATAGAGAAAACTGACAAATCACATCAAATACTACCAACTGCCAGCTACTGAAATGAACTGAATGATGGCTTCAATCAGAAAATATTGCCAGCTGTATTATGACATCAATAACAACTTACATGAAAAGGTTTCTCAGGAAACTTAGAATTATGTCTTTGTAATATAATAGTCTGCACTGAAATGTAAATTTCACATTTAGAAATAACAGTCAGTACCCTCTAAACTTACTTTCTTTCGTTGTATCATCTACACGTTGAGATGTTAGCAAATGCCCTCTGAAGTGTGTTAAATGTTCCATTTCCAAACGATCTGCAAGCATTTCTTCAACAGGACCCCATGCACCTTCATAAAACCATGTGCCACGACAGATCATGAATACTTCACCTATGAAAGTAAAAACAAAGTTTGATTTTGAAAGAAGGAAGGTCATAAAACTTTGTTTTAGGATTCTTGTGAAACAAGAAGAATTTTGAAATGCATCACTTCATAACAATTATCATGTTTTCCAGTAAAATTTGTATTGTAGGACCATTTCTTTCAAACCTTTGCATACAAGTATACAACCACAAGAAAAAAAGGAAGAATCTTTCACTGATAGCCTGGTACATACCTTTCCAATAAATACTTTCACATCTCCTATGTTTCACGTCCACCTCATACAGTCCTCCTCGAACAACAATTCTCTCGGTAACTTGTGATTTTTCCTGCATTTCCTTTGGTGATTGCTGCTCATTCTCCACATTTCCATAAGGAGAGCCATTTGACCCCCCAGGATTTGTGTCTTGCATAAGGTCCCTGTACTTCCACTCAATGCGAAGAGAATCATAACCAATAAAGGGTGTCCACTTCTTATCTGCTTCAATCTTGTAGAACCATCGTACTTCCTCGGGTCCAAGGTCATCTACAGTTTCATCCCCATATGGGGTTGGAGCTCGACCCACTGGAGTCCCTAAATAATTTGGGTCCAGACTATCCATTGACCCATTATAACTATTATACTGATAGTCATAGTAATAATCCTGATAGGCATTTGGATCTGCACTGTCAATATAGTCAACATTATACTGGAAGCCATTTGTTTCTTGAGGAAAAGTCTGTTGCAACTGTGTGAAACCGCCATACTGCATTTGCTGTGATTGCATTGACATGAAACCCATACTGTCAAACTGCAGCTGGTTCTGATACTGCATGTCCTGTTGCAAGTGCATTCCTGCTGCCATTTGGCCATTCACCACATGGGTGTTGTATGTACTTAAATTGGAATACCCGAGACCACTGCCTTGACTGTTCTCATTTGAGCCAGGCTGGAGGGGAACCTGATAACTTGCACTCTGACTGTCAACACTGCCCCAGCTTGACCCTAACTGGGCTCCACTCAAGCGGTTTTGGGGGGTATGCTGTGGCTGGAAGGGTCGTGGTTGTAAGGATGTGGGCAGACTGGATGCCAGTTGTGCTCGCCCCAACTGGGAGTGAACTGGTGAGTGAGAGCCCCCCATGTGGCCAACAAACCCTTGTGTATCTGGCGCCAAGGTATCCTTCTGAATACCTGCTGTCATAGAGGAGGAACTGAGCTGTGCAGTGCCCAGTGAGGACCTGATGGGGGAGGACGTCTGGGACTGGATGGGAGTAAGACGGGGTGACTGCAGGCCCAATGTGCCCAGATTACTAGGGGACAACTGGTGCTGGGTTGGCACTGGACTCCCACCTAGGAGACTGGGGTTGCTCGAGCTCAGTGGAGAAGAGCTGTAACTCACCTGCTCTCTTTGCTGCAAATAGGGCTGCTGTAACTGGCTATGAGTCTCATGCAACTGAGACGTTGCAGACTGGAAGGCCGCGGGTGAAAAGCTCCTGCCGAAGGAGATGTCGGAGGCGCACCCTGTGTCACGGGGGAGGACCTCGCCCCCGAAGGACGTCCTCGTCCCCGCAGAAGGGCACAACGGAGGCCGCGAGGAATGATCGAGGGTGAGCTGCCCGAGCTGTTGGCTGAGGCCGTGCCCATAATCGAGGTGTTGCCCAAGGTGTTGTCCGAGGTGCTGTCCTCCGAGGTGCTGTCCGCCCCCTCCCGAGAAGTCCATGCTGGACCATCACAGCCGCAACACGCACTCAAGAGGAACCATTGATCAATGCAACACTTTCCCTTCTGATGTTACTGCCTGAAGAGGAGTTAGTTGGGACTCGCAACGTTGCAGAATGGGCGTTTTTGCGTCACTGTTGCTCTGTTTCACACCATTCCTCCTCACACGTTATTGTGTTTGTGTTTTGTGGCCATTGATCAGAGTCAGCTGACGAGGTGCTGACGCCTCCGTCGTGAGCTGCTGTCAGCTGCTGTCATTAAGGAATTTATGCGAACAGCTTTCCCCTAATTTCACATTGTTATCCATTCTGTATTTATTAATCAAGTCAAAAATAAGTCCATAGATAGATAGAAATGCAGAAAGTGCGAACGACTATTTTATTTATATTTATTATATGAATGATGAGAAAAAAACACCCTGTCTAATTTTATATATCGTATTATAGTTTAAAAGTACCATAGGGTTATCAAGAAATATGTCTGAATATCATATTTTGATTGAAATTCCAAAGTTATTGATTTTTAAACTTTATACTCAACATCCTTTTTGACATTTGAGCATAAACAATTATACGAAAAATCCCTCACCGTATAGTAAGAAAACTGCCATCCTATTGGTCGAGAATCTTGTGCCAAGACTTGAATGAACTTGTTCAAGCATTTCGATCAAAATTTTAGTATAACTCGGACTAACATGATCGAAACTTGAATGGGCCTGTGTAAAAAGTGACGCATAAATTTATCAGACTTTCACACTATTTGACTGACACACTGAATGCTAATCAAACATACTTGAGAAAAAGTAGATTGCGTTATAAGGAAATGATAAGGGTGTTATTATCATCAGTTATGTTTTTCATTATGCATAATTGCTGGTAATTTCTTCTTGTTGTTAGTTTCTTGTTCTATTTTTTGTTGTGGTGGTTTTAATGCTTTAATGGTATTAATTGATAGTGTTATAATTTTTGTTTTGTAAGCGTATCTATTCTTTTTACGACTTATCATTGTTATGATTATTATTATTATTACCATCATCATTATTATTATCTTTTGTCTTTATCATCATTATCGTTTTCATATTATTTTTGTTATTATCATTACTGATATCATTATTATTGTTTTTATCATTAACAATGTTATTGTTATGTTATTATTATTACCATTGTTGTTGATACTGGTAATAATAATGCTGATTATAATAATTACAATAATAATGATAATAATAATAGTAATAATAATAATGATAGTAATAATGATAGTAATAATGATAATGATGATAATAATATTAATAATAATAATGATAATAATAATAATTATTATTATTATTATTATTATTATTATTATTATTATTATTATTTATTATTATTATTATTATTATTATTATTATTATTATTATTATTATTATTATTATTATCATCATCATCATTATAATAACAATAATAACAATAATTACTATTATTATTATTATCATCATCAATATTATCATTATTATCATTATTATTGTTATTATTATTATCATCATTATTATTATGATTATTATCATAATCATCATTATTATTACAATTATTATTATTATCATTATTATTCTTCATTATCATCATTATCAAAATGTTATTGTTATTGTTGTTATTGTTAGCATTATTATCATTATCATCATCATCATCATCATATTACTATTATTGTCATCATTATTGTTATTATCACTGTAATGATGTTAATAATAATAACGATAATAATAATAATAATATAATGGTAATAATGATGATAATAATTTCTATCATTTTCATTATCATAATTATTTTCATTATTATCATTATCACTATTGTTGCTGTTGGTGGTGGTGATGTTCTTTTTCTTCATATCATATTATTAGTAGTGTAATTATCATTATTTTCATTATTTTCGTCATTATAATCTTTATTATTTTCATTATTTTCGTCATTATAATCTTTATTATTCTCATAATTTTATCATTGTTATTATTATCATTATTGTTATTATTATCATTATCCATACAATAATAATGATAATGATAATAGTAGTAATAATAATTTTGATTATTATCATTATTATTGTTGTTGTTGTTATCATTATTATTGTTGTTGTTATTATCATTATCATTATTATGAATATTATCATTATTATTACTAGAATCACTATTGTCATCATTATTATCATCATTATCATTACCATTATAAATATTATCATCATTATTATTGTTATCATTATTACTGTTATTACCTCCTCCGAATAGGTTATGTTTTTGGTAGCGTTGGTTAGTTAGCTAGTTGGTTTGTTTGTTAGCAGGATAACTCAAAATTTTATGAACATATTCTTATGAAGTGTTTTGCCAGAGGTGTGTCTTAGGCTAACTTGTGGTGATGATCCGGATCCAGGATTATTTTTATTTGCATCAGTTAAGGCAATAGGGGTAACTATTATCATTATCATTACCTTTATTACCTCCATCAGGAAGGTTATGTTTCCGGACGTCTCCAGTGTACAAGAGAAAGAGGTTGATTTCAATGTAATTCTTCAAGTGAGAATATATTCATTGCATCAGTGACCTTATTGCCTTGCCGAAGGTATGCGCTCTCAAAGTACTTGTAGTTATCATTATTAGTATCATTATTGTTATTGTTATCAATATCATAATTGATCTTATCATTATCATTAGTTTCTCCTTTTAATCAGTATTATTACTTTTATTTTTATTATTAATATTATTATCATTATTATTACGAATTTATTATCAGTATGGTTATTGTTATTATCATTGTTATAATTACTGCTGTTGTTATTATTATTACTATTATTATCATTATCATTATTATCATTATTAGTATTAGTATCATTATTATTATTATTACCATTGTTGTTGTTGTTATTATTATTATTGCTATCATGAATATTATTATTATATTATTACCATTATTATTATTATTATCATCATCATTATTACTATTATTATTGTTGTTATTATTATCAATATGATTATCATGGTCATTATTGATATTATTATCATCATTATCATCATCATTATTGTTATAATTTTCATTATTTTCATCATCATTATTATCAAAATTATCATCATCATTATGATAATTAACATTATGTTTCACATAATTATTTTAGTCATCATTATGATGACGATGATGGCATTGTTATTCCTATCATTGCAATATCAAAAACTACAATGATTAAAAGTGATACATTACCGGAAGCTGCATATCTGCTAATGGGAGTAAAATAATACGTTATTTCATATCCAAAATATCTTCAATAATCTTTTAGTTTCTCTTTTGCATAGATATTTGAAGATTTTTTTTATAAACACATGTTGAACGTCGTTATATTTACTATCTTTTATATGTGAAAAGAAATTTTTCAGATAAACAATTATAAGAACTATCCCTATGTAGAGTATGAAACCACCCTCTTGATTCGGCAAAGGATAACCTAAACGTCCATGAAACCTTAAACTTGATTCGTCGCCTAGCTTTCTCCTTCCTGATTGGTTGACAAGGCTGCTTATTGGTGGCAAAGGTGTCTTCTGAAAGTAATTAATTTCGTAAATAATTTGCAAGAAATTGGATAATCTCGTTTAGTAGAATGTGTCTTGTATGTTTATGAAGTGGGGTGAGTCAATAAAAGTGTTATTAGATATGATATAATGGTCTACAACGTAAGCTGATCACCGGAACTTGTCAGGCAGTCGTCACTGAAATGGAATGGAAATATGTTAATCTTTACTTTTTTTGAGATTTATTGTCATTTTTATTTTTTTATTTTCGTAATGGGTTAGTTTTTAAAATGCGAATGGAATAATGGGATTGAAATGTCCAGGTTTTGCGGTGATGAATTCGGCATCAACCTATTATTGTTGTTGTTATTTTTTTAAGGCAGTGGATATTGTGCCGTGAAGCGGAAACATTCGGGAAACATATTCTGCTGTAAAGTGCTCATATCCAGGGGGCGCCACATGCAGTTCCTGTGTACATCATTACTATTAGACTGACTATTTTGCCATTTTTTAACTGCAAACACCAGTCAGTTAATTAAACCAAACCTAACCTAAATAAACCTAAACCTAAACCTAACATTGATATTGTGCTCCAACTTCAAATGC